GCTGCCCTAGGATAAAGGTGCACATTCTTATAAAGTCCAAACCATTATTCAGTTCAGTTTTATAACTTGAAAAAGCGACTTATATGCTGATACTTTTACAACACTGAGAAAGTCCTTTTGGCAGGGTGAGGGCACCATTATGATCGCATACGTTTTGGCAAACAATCATCGACTTGCATAAAAATGCTGGCATCTTTTATTACATTTTTCTATGATGCATACAGAAAAAATACATAATTGTATGTAAATAATTACAAATTTATTTATTTCTTACTACAACACCTCATTTCGATCTTGATAAGGTTTGTAATCTAGTAGAAAGCAATTATTCTTATTCCAAAAACTCGTAATTGATGGCATTTATCTTTTCACAAGTAAGAGTACAAAGTTAATCAAATTTCTCAATAAGATTTATATTGCCATTTGTAGATTTTTCGAGCGATTACACACATTCATTGTTGGCAATGAAAATAATGTAAAATGGGACTCCTTTAAAATCTTAAACTAGCCCAAAGCCTAGAAGGGCTATTAATTTCGTTTTGGCATTTTGCATCAAAAACTTTAAATGTCCATTTCACTTTTCAAATTGTTGCTACCAAATATTATCACCCTATGTTATATTTAAAGAAATTAAGTAATGAAGAATCTGCATAAATGTATGTATGTTTCTCACATTGTGATAAAACAATAGTACCTAGAGCCACCAAAATTTGAAGCCAAAATTTGTTTTATTATCGATTTCATATTCTGTAAAACTTTAACGAATTTTTAACTAACAAACTCAAGGATTTCAAAGTGAGCAATGGCAACATTGTACAGAAAAAACATTTTTATCTCCAGCATTGTTTCCGATACAGCAAGACTATGTATCGCAAATTCTAAAGATATGCTCATTTTAAAACTATTTTGCGACATTGCTCTTGAACTGAATTTTATGGTTTAAGTGTGAAGAACATGATATTAATAATAATAATAATAATAATAATAAAAAAGAGAGAGAGAGAAAGAAAGAAAGGGGGGGGCAAAAGAAAAAAAATTGGGCATAATGTAAAAAACTCTAAAGGCTTCAAGATTTTTTTTTAAATTTCAAATTTTTGTCAAACAATGCTTTTTAATTTATGGTAAATGTATTCACGAGCTAAGAAGAATTGCCTGAGGATCTGCCAGTTTGAAACCGTGGTAATATAGGAATGTCAGTTAATCCGAAGAAAAATCACTTTGATGGTGCACTTGGATTATTTTTTTAACATTATCATATGCCCCACTCCAGATGCTAGATTTAGAAAATTCCAAAAATATGGTTGTAACTGTCTGTCCATTCATAGGAGGCAAAGGTGGACCACCCATTAGGTGCTTCCACAACAATAAGACCACCATTTCTGGCCATAGTAGCGGCCAAGCCGAAGTCGGCCTATTGGGGAGAGGAATATTTTGTTATTACACTATTTGGATAAGGTAAGTGTTCTCACACTTAAAACTTTCTTAACATGCAATTCACCTTACTTTTATTACATGGAGGTAAGAAAGGAAGGAGTGGCCAAACCGGCATTAGAAGTGAAGCTCTGCTCTGAAGCTTCGGTCACCAGATGGGGTGTTTTTTTGTTTACATTCAGAAGCTCGCTTGACAGTGCTCTGATAGTATTTTGACACACGACAGTTCCATACAAATCGAAAAACGGGACACTTCCGCATAAAAGAAACATTCATAGTATGATGGATAATAGCAATTTGTATAGTTTAGCGACATTTACACAAAAATCACATCTTAATTATCTTTCGATAACTAACAACAGCGATTTTGTTTTATAAAATTCTAAGCTGTTGAATTACAAAAATATAGATTTTAGCAAAAAAGTTATGCTTAAAGAATGAAAAATACCTCACCGTACCTTTAAAATTGTATACATTTTTCGATACCCTTAATACAGTATTTGCTAATTTTATTTTATGTTTCAAACACCAAAATGTTTTTAAATAAAATAATTTTTTTTGACATCCACATATTATTGTAACATGTACTTTTTAAAATTAGTGTAAATTACTTTACTCGAAAAATATAGTGAATGCACAGAAATTAAAGATTTCCACATGCCGGAAATGAAAAATATGAAATATGTAGGGGTATTTATACATGTGCTTCCAAAAAGCATGTATCAGCCTTTAACAAAATACGTAAATATTTATTAAATTATTTATAACTGTATTTGAAATAAAGGATTTATTCTTTCATAAATAACCGTGAAGAAATATAATTATTAAATGTATCTAAATTTATAATAATTATAAATATCTAAATATACAATAACCTTAACATTGAATTGTAAACATAAATTGACATCCTGTTGACAAATATGTTAATGGACCGAATAGAGCATTAATTATAAATTGACTTATATTTTTCACTTTAAAAGATGCTTCAGAAGCTAAAAAATCATGTCATATTTGAGAAAGTATTTTAGGAAGAAGCTCTATAAATAGAAAAGAAATAATGCATAATTTTAATATTAATAATACAGTAAACTTTGATCTTAATTTTTGTAATCCTTAACCGAGTAAAATCGAATTACGTAAAAATTTCTTTCTAATGTAATTAACGAAATCTTGTGAAAATATCTCATTCAAATTAAACTATTCTCAGCAAACTGTTCTGCGAAAAGTTAGCATTTAATTCCGTTCAGAATGAAATGTTGTTCAAAAATGTATTCTTTTCATATACTTAGGACTCTGAAGTATTGTAGAAAAAGAAAATATATACATTTATATGCATATTTACGATGTAATTACAAAATATTTACATCTGATTGTGTCAAAGCCCATTGAACTCAATGGTAAATGACTCAATGTTTTGGGCACCAAAAAAGGGATCGCCATTGCTTCAAAGCAGGCTATGGGGAAACCGGTTTAGGGCCACTCCATCTAACTTCCTACCTCCATGTTTTATTATTTACATTCTAGCTCATTGTAGCTTTATCTACTGCTGTTGCGGGTCTGATTTTCAAAATCCAAGTCAGATGTCCCTCTTGAGAATTATGGTCTCAATCATGCGAGATGCCCCTGAGGATTTACGAGGTGATTGAGCCAGAATGCAATGTATCTGCTCAATTACCATCAGGTATTATGTTAATATTACTATGCATTTATATTGGAATGTAGGTTTCTTTTAAAGGAATAATACTGCAATAGTTATCAGTAGTTCACCCATGACTACTATTCACTCGGTATGTTCCTACTGTAACCATATTCTTCAATTGAATGAATTTTTCCCTCCCGATTTTTAAACAATAAAATTAGCTTAAAAAAGGGGAAAACTGCACAAGGAAATATGGTATATTCTCCATTTCTAGACCTTGTAAAGGTTAAAAAAAAAAAAAAAAAAAAAAAAAAAAAAAAATTTTGCTGGTTGTTCACACATTACATCTTTCCAGATAATGGATGTCCAGATTTCTACTGTTATTCCTTATTCAAATTCAATTATTATTTTTGTCAACAATACACAAAAGCCATATATATCTGCAATTTTTTGTCACAATGATTTCCCGTTTTTTATTTGTTTCTCAATGCTTCATAATGCTAGAAGACAGAGACACATATTTTTCAAGATGAACACTGATGAATTATTTTCCTACAATCTAGTATATTTCAGTTTCATACAATTCAACATAATTTATCTCAAAATATCAAGCTTCTAACAGGTTTTTCTTAGTGGCAAAAATCTCCCATATTCAATATTTTGGTGCAGTTCTGACAATACAAATGGTATTAAATATAAACAGATGATTTTAGCCATAGCTATTATTCATTTAGCACCACCCAGAAGGCACATGTAAATTAAGGATATCATGGACGAGAGTAACATTACCATGCCGAATTTTGATGCAGAGATCCTTGCAATCTCACTGGCTCTGGAAAACCTCAAGATAAAGATCAATGTTTCTCTAAAGCAGTTATTCTAGTCACTTCCAAAGCAGCCATCCAGGCTGTAGTTACAGATACCCAGATTATCTCAAAAATAAGACAAATCTTGAACTTTCTTTATAAACACAACCAAAACAATTGTTTTTCAATGGATCCCTTCACATGTAGGCATCGACGGTACCAAAAGGACAGACTCACTAGCCAAGAGAGGAACACTTGCCCCACAAGACAGCAAATGCCTACCTCCAGAGTCACTGGAGGGATAAAGGATATTTTTGATATATTAATGGATAAAGGATATTTTTGAGATATTAATGGACACCCTTAAATCTGGCCAGGCAGCAAAATCTCCAGGTAAATCCTGGGCTATCATTCAAGACACATGGAAAAAGTTTTGTCAAAATCCCCGTAAAGAGCCTGTGGCAAACTTCAGACTGCAAACAGGTCCCAATTGCATGGCACATCATCTTAATAAAATTGAAATTCCGTCTATCTAGTATATGCCAAATTTGAAATTCTGGCATTATGTGTGTGTGTGTGATTATGGCAAAGCCTCAAGGGCTATCTGCCTAAGGGAAGGGATGCCTTCGTGGAGGACTTTCTAAGGGAAACTGGTTCATATACACGTTACACATGGGGAAAACCATGAAAACGCCCGTGCAGCCAGCCCGTTCGCGGGATTCGAACCTCGGACCGAACTACCAGTGTTCAGCGACTTTACTGCTCGGCCACTGGTGGGCTCTGGCATTATGAGTGCAGAGCATCCTTGTATATGCCGAGAACTAGATAAAGAGTCTCAGAAACGTGGGGAAATAAGCAAACTATATTGGAATGCCAGAGCTTTCATGAACTTCTTCTAAAGACAACATCTCTTATGTTCCTTTCCTTGTTGTTTAAATTTTTAACTTTTTACTTTTGTTCCCATGTTCATTTATTCTGATTCTTACTTTATAAATGTTTGTTCTTTTTTATTATTTTTCATTGTTCTTGTGTGACACTTGAGCTGTTTCACATGTTTGGATTGATCTTTCTAATAAAGCCATATGTAACAACATAAACAGATGATTAAACTGCAAACAACAAAAATTATTATTTATTTTAAAAATATTACACTTTTATTTTATAATTAGAAAATTTTCCAGTTAGATTTAAATTACAATTAAAAACAACAGATACAAGTAGAAAATAATTTAAAAAAAAAGTAAATTACATACAACAGTAAAATCTTTCTCTCCTTTTTACATTTACGCATCATGGTATTATAAATATACATGATTAGAGGTGTTAGTTCGTAATATTTTTTGGTGTTCCCTATGCTTTTTCTCATGCCATTTCAATATTTCAATTATGAGATCCTGAGAAATAAATTACAAAAACTTATATTAGAAAATCAATATCTAGACAAAAGATAAATATTGCTAAAATTTGCAATAAACATTTGAATGCATTATCATCATATTTTGTATCGTTTTTTGCTGCATTTTGCAGCATAATTTTGTGTAACTGAATCTGTGGCCATGTTTTTTGTAAACAAGTTAGATGCCACCTGATGTGATCACGGTTAATATTATCATTCACTGAAGTCCTACCCATTTGTATACAAGAACATGGGAAATATACCGCCTGTCGTGATAAATGATTTGATTAGTTAGAATAAAATTTTTAAACTGAAGGTATCAAATAAGTTTAAAATGCATTAAAAGAATTACTAAGTTACAGAGGAATACTGCTAAGTGATGGATTGAGTTGCCAAGCAGCTTGGTTTCGATTTTAAACATTTAAAGCTTGGCACAATAAACAAAATTTTCAATAACTATGGATTTTCAGGGGATCACACACAAGTCCTTCTTCTTAAGGAGGACTGCAGAATAAAAAGAAATTCTTTAAAAACACATATACAGTCAAAAGTCGTTAATTCGGACACCCATAATCCGGACCTCAAAGCTAAAAACTTTCTGCGCATGTGCCGCGTTGACGCATGCGCATAAGCGTTTTTAAGCGTGCGCGTAAGACCTTTACGACTGCGCATTTGCGTGTGCACAAGCGCAGAATACGTTTTCACTGCGCGTTTAATGTATAATGGACGGTATAAGCTAAAATTATCTAATTGTCTATTTCAGTTAATGTTGATGATTGCATTGTTCCTTAATCTTCGAATTGGATCCGGCTTATTATTTTTTGCAGACTGTAAGAGCAATTTTATAAAAGTAAGCTTGAACTTTCGATTATGTCAAATAGAATTTACGATTCTAGAGCTGCCAAAGGATCTACAAAGCAAAAGCCTGTTTCGATGTGCATCAAACAAAAAGTGGAATTGCTGTATAAAATGGATAAAGGCATATCCTTTGTTTCCTAACCATTCCGAAATCTGTTTATCAATTTCACGCTGCTCTGCCGGGGGGGGGGGGGGGGGGGGGTACGTGGCGGCGCGCAATGAACTGGAAGTTGATCTGTCAACACTATCGTTATCTTCAGGGCAGATGTTTTTATTTTATTCGGCTTATAATTCCTTATTAAATGTAGTATTTCATCTCAATGTACTATGTCTTTGATATGATTTAAATCAAATTCCTGGTCATTATAAATATCACGAATACAAAATCAAATAGTTTTTTTTCTGGTTGCAATTTTCTAATTTCGGCTATGCATAATGTATGCTTTACGCATGCGCGCGTTGAATGAAAGAAATGTTTAATAAAAGTAAACAAATAAGTTTTAAGCTTTTTTTTTTTTTTTTTTTTTTTTGTAAATTTTGATACCCTTTAGATCATAATTGTTCTTTATTTCATAAATTACGGTTTCATATTTTTAATTTTAGAATTTCTGCATGCCATCTTACCAGATTTAAACTGATGATCTATAATCTGGAAAAATCGATAATCCGGAATCACCGAAGTCCCGACGAGTCCGGATTAAAGACTTTTGACTGTACCAGAGTTTTTAATTAATATCTTGGCTGATTAAAGTCGTACGAAGATGGGAATAGTTGAAATGGCTTCCCACGAATTTTTGGAACTGGAATAATAATGTATTTAATGTTTGGCAATGCTATTTCTATTCCATCGTAAAACGTAGAAATTTTTTATTAACAAACTCTTGGATTTGAAAGTGAGCAGTGGCAACACTTCTCGAAATAAAGCAGATTTTTATCTACAGCGCACAAGACTGTTGTCACTCGGAAAAATGAGGACAAAAATTAGCGTTTTCAGAGTTTTAATTAATATCTCTGATTTAAGCTTTTTTTTTTTTTTTTTTTTTTGAAAGTTTGGTGATGATAACTATAGTAGTGAGAGTTAATTACGAACAAACACACAGACATTCTTCTTTTTATGTATACAGTAGTTAAATTCCACTGCTATTTTGCAGTTCTGCAGTGTGTTTTCTCATCGCTTGATGATATCAAAAAAGCCATGGGGAAAAAAAAAAAAAAAGTTATCACATTGAGTGGCACCTGCTGTACATTTTTTTGGAGAAGTATAAAATAGTAAGCTTTGTGATTCTGAATCCAACAACGTTTAAATTGCAAAAATAGATAAAAAAGAATTTAAAATATTTCCAGAAACTCTCCTAATGGATTTTGGTGATATTTTTTTCGCCAAGTTGATACCATTCAGCAGTTTCTTGCCAAAACTTTTTGGAAAATGCTATTTTGAAACTCCAGGAGTGGTTTTTCTGGAAGCTTGCAGGAAGCAAAGAAAACCTCGCTAAACAACTATGTTTGAGCCAGAGGAGTCACTTTTAGCTATCACTTACTTCAGAGTGCTACTCAAATAGTTAACTGAATACATTGCATTATCACTGAAATTGCTAATTTGCAATACTTCTCATGTGTTGTGGAGGATTTACTGTACCTCTACTCCTTGAGATATTTATAACTGTTATTGATGGTACATAGTGTTATTAATTGCAACAAACTGCCAATTTCTTAATGTACATGTAGAGCATTTGTGCAAAAAAAGCTTGATGAATATGTAGATCACAGTATACACTAAATTAACAGTTTGTACTTAAGATGTGATGCTTGTTTGAAACTCGAAGTACTGTATGCAACTGAAATGCAAAATTACGAATGACTTCAGTTACTTTTTCGTTGTTGGGCCTTCCATTCTAGACAGTATCCCCACCAAATTTCAACTAACTTAATTTCTGTGACTCTCTAATTTAGATAGGGTTCCCGCAGAACTTCAGCTTTTAGCTTCCCTGACTTTCTAGCCTAGATGGGATTCCCAGAAAAATTCAGATTTTAACTTCCCACACTTTTCATTCTAGACAGCTGTCCAAAAAATGCAGATTTTGACTTTCCATTCAAGACAGAGTTCTCACTAAAATTCTGCTTTTAAAGTCCCTGACTGTCTTTTAAGCAACAGTTCTCACTGAAATTCAGCTTTTAATTTCTCGGACCTTTCAATCAAATATTCCCACCAAAATTCAGTTTTTAATTTTCCTGACTCTTTGACATTCTGAACAAGAATTCATACTGAAATTCAGTTTTAATTTTGTTTACTTTTATTTCAGTACAGGGTTCCCAATGAAGTCCAGCTTTTAATTTCCCTGAATGTTCATGGCCAAATTGAACAATTTCTCGGACTAATTACGATGAATTAGGCATCAAATTAAGTATGCATAATTGACTAATTTTATGCATTTATGGCACAATACAACTAAAAATAGCATAAAAATCTAATTTCTTTTAATTGCAATAGTGAGGCAAATAAAAGTAATACATGATGCGTCCATAAAACTTTCTATGCAACATTTATTTTAACAGCAGTTGGCTGCATATTTCAAGTTAAAAAAGTATTTTAAATGACACGTATATTCATGTTTTGGTGTTTTTAAATTTTAAAATAAATTTTGTGAAAACTATGAGTCTAAATTGTATTAATTTCTAATGTTGTATCTATATAAATGTTTTTACTTATTCTCAAAACATAAAACACAAAAAAGTTGATTGCTGTTGGACAAAAACTGACCAAGATTTATTTTTGGTATATTTGCTATGGGAAAAACTTTTTCACATAATTTATGTAAATTTTAAATGTTAAAAAGGCATTCATAATATTTACATATATACAGTTTTTACTTTTGCATTAAAAACATTTTTCCTAATTAAAATTCTGTGAAAGTACTTATTTATATTTACTTTATGTACACTGTAAGTTTCTTGTTGCATTTATAATGAATTAGTAAAATTACATTTCTGTTTCGAAGAATATTTTTTTCTCATTCTTGAATGTTATCAAAATAGCTGAGGACAAAAATGTGATCACATTAAGTGGCACCTACTGTACTTCCAATTACAAAAAGATGGTAACTGATGCAAATACTTACATATTTTTTTTTTTTTTTTTTGTTAATTCAACCCATCAGTTTTTCCAAAATTACAAAATTTCATTTTTTGTATGGTCTTTCATAGAAAAGAGAAGACTTTGCAAAAAGTAAGTGAGAAATATAAATTAAATTCTTAAAAAAATATTTATAATAATGTTAAAAACTGATAGAAAATGCAGAAATATAAAAAAAAATTTGTAGAGATTTAGGGAATATAAATGAAAATATATATGCATCACCTTCTTCCTCCATTTTTCTTTCATTTCCTCTTTTGCCTTTTTATGAGCTTCATTAATCATTGTCTGCAAATTAAATGATACCTTTTCTTTCTGAAGAAGACGGGAACTTTTTTCTCTAGGAGGAGGTGGAGGAACTGGCCTAGAATAGATATTAAATTAGTAATCCCTTAAAAATAATTACTATATATTTCTGTCTAAAAAGTAAAACATTTTAGCAGATTTTTTTTTTCCTTCTAAAATTTAAGTCAGGTTATATACCAGTTAAAAATTATTTATACATAATTTGATTATAAAAACCATAGTGCATGTTAAGTGTAAATAATATTATTTTACTTAATTTTAACTCTTGCAAAAATATTTTATAGAGGCCAACAGATCTATATAGAAATTCCTGTAAAACTTTAAATGTTGATCTGAAAATCCTCACAAAAATTTGATAAAATCTTCTTACAATGGTATTATATAAAAATCTATGAAGTTTGCAAATGTTAATCAAAGCAAATTTTCAGTTTCTGATGTACTCTGATGATGGGACATAGGCAGCAAAAATAAACTTTCTATTCATAAGTATTGAATCATTTTTAATGGAAATTTTCCCCTTTTTTACTCTGACTTCAGAATTTTTAGTTTTTTGAAGCATGCTCCTTACAGAATACAAGAATTAAACCCCATAAAAGTGTAAAATGAACTTAAATCATAAAATTAATTAAAATATTAAATTTAAGTTCCCAAAACTCACACTTTTAATTATTGCATTCATACTGCAGAGATAAGAGATATCATTTATTAATTTTTTAAAATAAATTTATGCATTATTTAAGAGGAAAATATTTTTTGAACTCAAAACGATATTACAAATTTTTATTTTAGAAAAAAAGTCATCTGTACGAAAAGTTTTTAGCCTCCCTTCATGCCAACGATCATTTCATTAAATTTAAGATAAAAAAAATTCCATTCCAAAAGGAAAATTCTGCTGATTTTATAATGCTTTAAATACTCAAAAACTTCTGTCAGAGCTTTTATAGTATTAAAAAAAGGGGGGGGGAGAGAGTTTCTTAGAATGATGTCCCAATTTTCTATAAACTAGATCTGATATTTTTAGTAGAATTCTTTTAGTTGATTTTATACACATTATATAATATTTTTCATGTGGGATCTTGAGAAACTCTGCATGAATTTTTACAGTGCATAAATCTCTATAGGATATCTACAGATAAATATGTAGGAGTTATATCTACAATTTTATAGGATTCGATAGTTCGATGGAAGGTCTCTGATCTAGAATACAGAAAACTAGGCCATAATTCTAAAGGAATTTAACACTGGATTTTTTAATAGAATTCCACAAGAAATATTCTTAAGGGAATGAATACAGGTTAATAAATTTCTAAATACACTTTTTTTAAAATTCTATGGTAATTATGTGAAGTATTTATTAGAGACAAGTTTGTGTAAATGTTATCAACCTTCCCCTGCACAGCTGATGTCATTATTATCTATGTTATAGGTAGTATCATCAACAGATCCACCCATAGTATTGCTTAGCAAAAGTTACAGTTTTTAGTTAAAAAGTGGCAGAACATGCCATACTTTTAGTACAGGTATCTTTCTCTTGAGAGGAGAAATGAAGAATTGTATTTTACTTGTAAAAGCCACATGGAGAAAAATCTCATGACTACTTGAGTATGGTTATGATGTTAAGAACCAGAGGTAAAATTAGCCAAAGTGCCAAATAATGCAGATGCCCAAAAGTTAAGAGAATCGTCACCTCATCACTTAGTAAGAACTGAATTAACTGAATGAGAAATATATCTGTAATGAAATTCGAGGAAATAGCTTTAAATCAAAGGCAGGAAAAATGCATATAATTTAATATTCCGTAGAAGGAAGTCATGTGGTGTACACATCAGGTTTTTTGGTTATGGTAAACTTCACAACAGTCAATTTAACGCAATTTAAAGTTAATTTTGGATTTATTATTCTTTAATGCCATACATGCATGACAACATCAGCAGGTATTAACATGGACCTCAAGCTTTCTATACTCCATTCAATGCATTAAATATTAAAAGAGTAACTGATACTTTTTACTTTGCCAGCAGGTCATGGAATGCACTATGCTGTGATCTCAAAACAGGTTCCTGGAATTTGCAATTTCTGTTAGAGAATCCATTAGTGATGCCCATGAAGCAATGAATAATTAAAAATTAAATAACATGAAATATATGTAAAATGAAAGTTAAATATATACTTATTATACACATATAGTCAGTCGTATCACAATAAATTACACATGCACCTTGAAATTAGTGACAGAGCAGAGAAAAAACATTGTTTTTAAAATGAAACAAGCATTTCAATACAGTAGATTACATGATAATCTCTAATTCAGAATCGAATGATCATACTATAAGGCATTTTCTTCCTCCTTTCTGCATGCCTTTGTGGTATAACTGGAAGCATGCTCCACATGAATTCAGGAGGTCCCAGAGTTCAAATCACTCTGGTGAGAGCATTGCAGATTTCTTGCTTTCCAAAATTAAAAAAAAAAAAAAAAAAAAAAAAAAAATTTAAAAAAGACTTTACAAGTTGTGCCCAAACTAAAAGTTGCTGGATGATAATTTGTCACCACTAAGATTTGGCAACTGTGTCACCTCATTCCCAACCTTCCTTTAAAAGGTAAATTATACAGTCAAAAGTCGTTAATCCGGACTCGTCGGGACTTCGGCGATTCCGGATTATCGATTTTTCCGGATTATAGATCATCAGTTTAAATTTCGTAAGATGGCATGCAGAAATTCTAAAATTAAAAATATGAAACCGTAATTTATGAAATAAAGAACAATTATGATCTAAAGGGTATCAAAAATTAAAAAAAAAAAAAAAAAAAAAAAAAACAAAAAAAAAAAAAAAAAGAGCTTAAAAACTTATTTGTTTACTTTATTAAACATTTCTTTCAATGTAAGTTGCTTCATTTTATGTGATAATACTTTCTCTTTAATTCTATAAACATACATAACTTCTTGTTCAGTTACAAAGTCCCGCAGTTCAAGTCAGTCCGTTAATGCTGTGCCGAGAATACGACTAACTTGTCAATCGAATTTTTTCGTTTTCACTAACCTCTCTGTCACATTCTTCATATCTTTATCCATTTTTGTAGCAATTCCACTTTTTGCTTGTTGGACTCGAAACATACTTTCGTTTGTAGATCCTTTGGAAGTTCCAGCATCGGAAATTCTATTTGACATAATCGAAAGTTCAAGTTTACTTTTATAAAATTGCTCTTACAGTCTGCAAAACATAATAAGCGCGATCCAATTCGAAGATTAAGCAACAACGCAATCATTAACATTAACTGAAATAGATAATTAGATAATTTTAGCTTACACCGTCCGTTATACGTTAAACGCGCAGGCGAAAACGTATTCTGCACTTGCGCACACGCATATGTGCAGTAGTCAAGGTCTTACGCGCACGCGTAAAACGCCTGTGCCAACGCGGCGCATGCGCAGAAAGTTTTTAGCTTTGAGGTCCGGATTATAGATCATTCTGGATTATGGTGTCCGAATTAACGACTTTTGACTGTATAAGGTATTTTCTCCCTCCTTTCTACATGCTTTTGTGGTATAATTGTTAGCATGCTCAATGTGTATTTGGAAGGTCCATAGTTCGAACCACGGTGAAGGCATTGCATATTTTTCAAGTTCTAGCATAGAACAACCTAATGAACCTAGAATCATCTAATAAGTAAACGATCAATCATTCAACATTTATTTCAGCACATAAATGCATAAATGAAAGATTAAACAAAACAAACATTTTTCAGAAAATATACATTTACTGAATTTAATTTCAAGCTAACTTCAAAAACAAAATAGCAGGATAAAACATTTTTACATTTAAATTTTACTCTGACGGTATATGCTTCATATTACACATAAATGAATTACCAACCTATGAACCCTTTTGGGTTTCTTGATGAGTTCCAGAAAATCCTGTTTTGCCTATGGAAGGAAAAGGGTTGTTGAGTTTCTGATTCATTTATTGATTATGAATTATCTGATTATAATAATGTCTAGATAGCATACCTCATCTAATTTCAGCGACTTTAAAAACATCAGCCTCTCTTCTATGTTCTTTTGAATTTTCTTTTGATATTCAGTCATTGATGTCTGGGAAAAAAAAAGTATAAAGAACATTTATTACTTTGCTACTTAATTCACTAGAAAGACATTATCACAGAATATATATATTAATTTTAAAGAGTCCCACCAGGATAATTTGAAAACTGCACTTACTGCTTTTAAATAGTTTACTTTGTTAATCAATAACAGACTGATTAAATTTAAAATAAAAATTCAATATTTTACATTTTACTAAATGGCAACACACTGGGATGTGGAAGTTTTTTTTTTCCCCCTAGTTTTTTTATGCCAGATTCTGAATATTTTAAAAATATTCGCATAATGCCACTCTTTTTCAATGCTTTCAGAGAACAAGCTCTCCTAAATTTGAAAATGAATTCACCCAGGAATTCATTTTCAAATAGTAAAGTAAGGGAAACTTAGTAAGACTTAGTAAACTTAGTAAAACTTACTTAGTAAGGGAAAAAGAAAATTGTGCGGTGTAACAGCAATGATATCATATTCTTTGGAAGATGTTACTATTGCCTACTATGTGTAATTTAATTGTATGTAATTTGGAATATATAAATTGAATATAGGTATAAACAGAAATTTTAACCTTTTTTTAACAAGAATTGGAGCTTTGTGATATTATTCCAGCTCGATTGTAAACATTATTCTTCGGCATCATTTATAACTTTATTTATTTGCTTCTAATTATTTTTACTAATTTGATAGTTACAGTGTTTTTTAACATTTATTTAATTTACATAACCAAATAACAAAATGCTATTAGCATTTTGCAGTTTACTGGGAACACGAGAAATTCCTCTTTTTTCTGCTTCTAACACTACTGTTGTATTAACCATGATTTTGAGTTCACTGTGGACATCGTTTCTAGTACGACTCAGGTAAATGGAAAATGTGTGTATGTCTTACAGGAATCATACTATTTATACAGATGGTTCTAAAATGAATAAGAGAGTTGGCAGTTTGTTTTGTAATTTTTCAGAACTTATTGTATTCACGAATTAAACCGTCAACCAGGAAACCATCACCAAGAAGCTCGATTTAACGCCAATTATAGAAAAACATGATGTGACAAAGTATACCATCTGCACTAGATGCAACCCGATTGTTAGATTAATTCTCAGTAAGAAACTTTTCATGTTTATGAACATCATACACAAAGCATGTATCTCCCCTTGTATAAGACATTTTCATGTCATGCAGCTTGATTTTGGAACATAAAAATTGGAATTCTTTGGAAGATGTTTCTATTGACTACAATGTGTAATTTAATTGTATGTAATTTGGAATATATAAATAGAATATAGGTATAAACAGAAATTTTAACCTATTTTTTAATAAGAATTGGAACTTTGTGACATTATTCCAGCTCGATTGTAAACATTATTCTTCGGCATCATTTATAACTTTATTTATTTGCTTCTAATTATTTTTATTAAAAAAGGAGGGGGAGAATTATTTGATTGACAAGTTGGTTTTTATTAGCCTGCTGGATTAAAATTTAATAGGAAAAAATATTATCTAAAGTCATTGAAATCAACATTTATTCAGCATACAATTTGTCATCACTATCAGAACTCACATCCATTAGCTGAACCTCATCCGTGTACCCCCTTAAGTACACAATAAGGTGCAGTTTCCTCAAATGCACTGTATCACTTCATCCTTATTGTAGACGTCTTGCCCTAAATGGATTCTTTTGTGGTTTCTTATCTTTAGGTTAAAGATGACTTAGTATACACTCAGGAGAAGCTCCTTTGTTAGGAAGGAATTTCAGACTTCTTAAAAAAAAAAAAAAATTATTTAAGAAACAGGTGAGCATTATTCTAAGTATTAACATGCAAGCCACCATCAACATTCTTTCACTCTTAGTTTCATTAGCTATTTCCGTCGTATCAGGCACACTATGTTTTTACAGAAAAACTGCATCTTATACACCAGGAAATATGGTAAATTAACTGCTATTGCCGTTTTTCATTAAATTTAGATTTTTTAAGTAGAGCTGCAAAATTCTATTTGTAGTTGCACTCCGATTCATTTACAGCTGGCCAAGAGAATTAATATCTGTTGAATGGGGAAAAAAGAACAGCTGTATATGGCTGACAAAATAACAATAGATTGAAACAATCATTTGAAAACAAATGTTTTTCATTAAATTTAGATTTTTTAAGTAGAGCTGCAGAATTCCATTTGTAGTTGCACTCCGATTCATTTACAGCTGGCCAAGAGAATTAATATCTGTTGAATGGGGAAAAAAGAACAGCTGTATATGGCTGACAAAATAACAATAGATTGAAACAATCAACTGTGAGAAGTCCGGACCCATAACACTCTATACAGAGCTTTTGTTAAATGCAGAGGACCTAACAAGATAGTAAAAATCAATTACAGTCTTTTTACAAAGTGGAAAAGTAAAGTGGGTCCAATACTTTTGCAACAGTCACCATTTGATGGATTATACAGAGACTGATGAATATTTTACTGCAAAAGTTGCACATAAAAGCATGCCTTGGAATTCCACAGGAACCAATAGCACAACTTTGGTGGGATTTCCACCAACTTTTGTAATTCACTGATAGGCAATTTTCATAGTTGACAGGATAATATGCAAGTACCAAAAATATAAGTGCGACAAGTAATTGCAGATTAAGTGATAATGCTTGTTTTCTGTGTTTCATAAAAATTCAAAAAGCTCTAGAATAGTTAAGTTGTTATGCTTGCGATGAAGTACATATTTACTCTGATAGAATATTTTGCAAGCATTATTGTTCCAAAAGAGTTGTACAAAGATTGTTTATTCCACCCACTGTTTGTTACTGCAGAAAATTAATTGGACGTCATTGGATTAGAAGAAACATGGGAAAATTATCTTACAAATCAGCAGATTCACGACCTAAAAAACCAACCGAAAGAGATATGATAGATATTGTAGTTTATCAAAATCATTTCAAAAATTGCATATATTTTTATTACACATTTCAAAATTACATATACTAAATAATTAAAATAAGTAGCACATTTTTGTAACTAAGATTATTTTAAATTGATTTTGTCCATAAGAACAGGTTTTCATAAAAATCAATTTTAAGAGTAACAATGCAAAAACAAAATGTCTGAAGATAAATCTTAACTGTATTATGACTTATTTTATAGAATACAAATGTACAATATATATATATATATATTGACAAAAATATTCGATATTTATACAAACTACACTAGAAATTGAGTTTAATATGGTAGATTTCAAAACAAGATTCCAGGAAAAATCCTATTGGCCAGTTTCAGTTTTTTATAGAGCAACAAACAGCACATTATCCGTGAAGCCCCCTCCTTTTTTTTTTTTTTTATAGAATTAGGCGGTATCTTGCTTGCAAACTGACAAGCTGTCAGTCACGAAAGTTTGAGAGTAGAACTAGGTTTTCTAGAAGTAGCACATGTTCTAAAGTTCAAAATAGTTGCATTATTCATCATAATCACAGATAATGCAATACCTCTGAAACTCTCTCACGTTATATGATTTTTGGAAATTTTCTACGAACACTTAAAAAAAAATTACATATTGGAGCTAGTTTATCGAATTTTTTCCTGCTTGGTGGACTTGTGAATCATCAAAATGAAGGCATCTCAATAAAAAATTTAAACGTTTTGATGACATAGTTGTATGGAATATTTCAATTCCAGTGCCGTCTATTGCCCAGAGATCTCCTACATATACATGGGATGATTTTTGCAAACCAATGAGATACAGCAATCCAATAAATGCTTTAATTTCAGCCTCATTAGTCTCTTCAGAAAAGTTCTCTTTAATCGAACCAATAAAAATATTAGTACATTGCACTAGTTTTTTTTTTTTTTTTTTTAATCAAATCAGAAGATAAAAGTAAATTCCAAGCTTCCAGAGGAGAAGTGACATTTTTTGAAAAGCATGTGTTTTCAGAGAGTTTTAAAATTATATTTTTAGCAGAAACTCTAACATTTCCATGAAATTTCATTTTACTCCATTTTGCTATATTATACTTTCCTATAAAATAGCCACTTTCACATTTGAATCAGAAAGATCGCTCTTTAAATCAGATGCTATTTCAGTCGAAGATTCGTGTTCACTGTAAATCTCATCATCCTCATTTTCATTATCAGAAAATTCATTACTTTACTCAAAACTTTCTTCACCTGAAGAAACAGTATCAAGTAAATTTCTCAAATGTCCCATTTCTTCATCATAACTTCAAAAATGCGCCATAATGAGAGAATGATTTCAATGCATTTAGCAGCACTCAGAATTGTAACAGAAATGCTCGTGCTGGGTGTGACATACTCTGTAGTGGTGATTTCGAGATATATATTGTTAGAACTCTTTTCCCTATTCTTCCCTTTCTTTCCTTCCAAGGTTATGACCTTGGGGGCAGCTACAAGAAGAATCATCCATTTAAAAAAAAAAAAAAAAAAAAAAAATTGGAGAAAAACAGCGAAAAAATGGAGGGGGTGGGTATGACGTATTCAGCGTGATCAAACCCAGGTTAAATGACAGAGAGGAAAAATTCAGCACCATCTAAAAAATCTGCCAAAGATAATGAATGAGCCAAGCATTTGTAAACAGACATACTTGAGTAATACCTTACTTTTCTACACCATTTTAAGCTAAGATTAAAGTAAGGAAAATTAATCAGCTTAATTAACAGATACTCACCTCAGGGATTTCTTTCTTCTTCTTTAGTATTTTCTTATGTTTTACATTCACAGAGGAATTCGAGTTTTCACTGGATGGTTGATATTCACTATCAGATTCCTTTTCTTCATCAGATTTGGTTTCTCGATAATTAATTTCCTAAGGAATATTAACCACATATTATAGCGATGTTTTTCACTTATCTGTGCAGCTGAATCCATAAAGTAAATAATTATAAAAGGCAAGGAACATACATGTATAATGAAAAAAAAGAAGGGGGGCAGTTCTATATCTTCCATTCTACTGGGCCGACTGATGAAAATCAACTTGCGTTTTTCATGTCTCGAAAGTGCGACTTAGGATATGTATTAGATTTATATATACATTGTTCTAAAATAGGTATTTTAACACATAATCGGACTTTTTTTAAATGACATGCCAATTCTTTTCCATATTTCGATTCTATGAATTAAATTATGTCAAACTCCAAGTTTTGTGAAATTCGCACAAGTAGTTTTTATAAATTAGCTCTCAAAGTTTTAGCTTCTCAGTGTTAATCGAATATGATACATGTTTGTTAATATCTTTTTTTATTATACTTATTTTATTTTCCCTTTCATACTTCAAAATTTAGGTTCATTTTTTAAAAAATTACATAATTTCTTATGATTTATTTTTAAAATTTGTATTTTTAAATAATTTTTATAAATTCTTGATGAACAGAATTGAATTTTGCAAAAATGCAAGCACTTCAAAGAAGATAAGTCATATCTGCTACAAGCCATGCATATTATAAACAATGCATAAGTTAATAATAATATCATAATCATCACAGACTCTTAAAATCAGTTAACTGTTTTTGAAAATGTGACTTTTATGTAGAAGAAGCCTGAGAGAAATTGCAAGTTATATTTAATGTTTGAGACATCAAATGTGGGAAGTTATGAAGAATTTTTATCATAGGTGTTATGAAGAATTTTTATCATAGGTGTCACTTCCCAAAAATTTGGAATCAATGTATGCAAAAATTGACAACAACAACAAAAAAAAAAAAAAGAGAGAGAGAGAGAGAGAAGAGGGGTACGCCAATGTCGATCAAATCTAGAAAAGCACTGCAGTTTCGAGAAAAAACTCTTGAACCAAAAGGTGCTGATCGAAAAAAGCTACTAGCAGTTTTATAAAATTGACAGTATAAATGAAAAATTTTTATTAATAGAAAACAAGTAGAGAGAAAATACAGTTTTGTAAGAGATAAAATTTCATCAATAATATTATCATAAAAATATTTTTTATAAAAAATTAAAAAATGAATTTTAGAATTACATAAAAAGTTTAGTATAATTATTATTTTAGGATTAATTAATGAATTAGTTGTTAGCTATTATTTTACTTGAAAAGTTTAAAACTGATATCGAGATTTCCAATACACAAATCACGTTTATTAAAGTCGCTTAATAAACTGAAATATGTTTGGAACAGAAGTTATTTTAATAAGTGGCGGGCACTATATTTATTATCTTTAAACCACTTTTACACACAGTAGCAATACGAGATGAAGTTAAATCCTGTTCAAGTATAAATACTTCATTATGTTAGAAGCGTTCAATGAAGTCAGAAGACTTCACTTTGTGCTTGAGTATTTCCTCTACATATTTTTGGCATTTAGATTCTTAATAATTTCACAAACTCTGCCTATACCTTTTATGACATAAAATCCTACATCATGACACTAACAGGACATTCCATGGACAGCGTAATGTAATCAGGATACGAAACTTCTCTTTATAATACTTTATGGTAGTGACAGTGAGATTTTAGGCCCCATCACTGCAAATAAAAGTGTCCCATCATTTCACTGTCTACTTAACATATGTTTTAACCCGGTTTAAACTTCCCATCATTTGTATAAGAACTAAATATGGCTTGTATTGTAGAGTTTTAGAATTCAAACTAAATTTGTATAGTACACACCAAACAGTCATTGAAGACTACAATGCATTGTGCCATTTCTTAAGTTCATTTTTTGACATCACCTAAAAATAGTGTGTTATTTCAATTATCATCACTTGGCATCATGCACTTTTTTTCTAATTTTACCAGTCTCGTTTTGCAGTGACAGACTGTACTTACCCTTATGAAAAACTTCATACAGGCTGATAGTACAAGGTAAAAATTCCTGTAGAATTTTATAGGTGATTCTCTATTGAAATAATTCTCTATAAAATTCTATAGAAATTTTATAAAGATTGCAGAGAACAGAATTCTCCAAAAATGTTGCTTTACAAAATCATATAAACATTTTTATAAAGCTTTATATAATGTCTATTATATAAAGAAGAAGAATAGTCTATAGAATAGAATAGAAGAATATATATTATATATTATATAAGTCTGCAAATTTTTCAAACCATAACCAAAGCGATTTTCAGTTTCTGACATAGTACATGGTATACAGAAAAGCAAATAAGTACAAAGTCCGTAATCAAGAATCGTCGGGACTTCGGCGATTCCGGATTAGGGGTTTTTCCGGATTATAGATCATCAATTTAAATCTGGTAAGATGGCACGCAGAAATTATACAATTAAAAATATGAAACCGTAATTTATGAAATGAAATAAAGAGCAATTATGATCTAAAGGGTATCAAACTTTACCCCCCCCCAAAAAAAAGCTTACTATTTATTTGCTTACTTTATTTTTCTATCAAAAGCGCGCATGGGTAAATGCTTTATGCGCATTAAACGTGCAAGCGAAGTGGATGCGCGCATTATAAATGCACATGCATAAGTTTGTGGCTTTGAGGTACGGATTATAGATCATTCCGGATAATGGACTTTGTATTGTATAAACATTTTTATTCATAAGTGCTGACTCATTTTGGAATAAACAGCATGTTTCAGGTAAAATTTCAGGTGCATTTGAACAAAATGGATTTCTAATCCAATTTTCGTTTTCATAATCTTCTGGAAAGTACACGTTGAAATTATTTATGAATGAAAAACAATGATTTTTAATGTCGGATGCTAGTTCTTTTATTTTCAAATTATTTTCGCTTAGATAACTTTCTAAAAGTGGTAAAAAACTTCAAATATTGTTGCACTCTATGAGTTTATGGATTTTTAGTGATTGATGAAGGATCACAACACAATTTATTAGCCAGTATTACTCAGATCAGTCCCTAAAAACATGTTTACAGTCTTCAAAAAACTGCAATAAACACTCTCAAACAATCAGCAAGAAAGCCTGCAGGGTATAATGGTGAAGAAAGCTTCATGGCAAAACACTAAATACAAGCTCCCAACTCAGTCGATCGCTCTCGGATTTCAAAACACTCAAGATACTCTTCACGATAAACTGACGATACACTGCTACTCCGCATACAGACAGGGTTCATGTAGCTTTTGACCTGCTTTCGAGAACATTCTGTGGTAAACTGGTAAGAATTTCTTCTAGAATGTTCTCCCTCCATCTATGGCATATCGCCGGAGTTCAAAAAGACGATGTAAAACTTTGCCTCTGGATAACCCCATTACTTCGGAATATAGCAAAAGCGTTTCATGTTCACTGCCTATTTCTTGGCATAAAATCGTAAATATGCTTGAATTTAAAGTTCGGTTTTTAATTATATTAACAATTTTCACAGCTTGATTCAAAATGATTTTCAGGTTTTCGGAGATTGTTTTGGCTACTAAAAAAAAAAAAAAAAAAAAAAAAAAAAAAAAAAAAATTAGCGATTAATGGAGCAGCAAGTAAATTTAGTTTCTGGTGTGACTTTCTTTATTTGAGAAATAATGCTGGAATGTATTCGTGTTAAAGCACGTCGTCCATCACTGCTTACGGCTATTCACTTATTCCAAGGAAAATCGTTCTCACACATAAAATTGTCAATTACATTGAAAATTTCATTCGCAGTTTCTCTATCATGAAGAGATTAGCAAAATAAATACTCTTTGGCAATTTGTTTATCTTCTTCGAAACGTATGTAAACTAATACTTGTACAAAGTTCGTTACATCAGTACATTCATCCAAGTGCAATGTTGGTGGATGAATGGTTATGAACATGGATGCTAGATATCTGGCGACTTCTACTCAGGTGGCTGTGTCAATACCTAAGTACCCTTTTTTATATTTGTTAGAAATCTAATATTATTCAGAAAATCTGAAAAGATAGTGACACATTTGGTTTTATATAAAAATGTTTAGAACTGTAAATCCAGATTTGCATCACATAACTAAATATTTGGCTAAACAGATATATATATATATATATATGAATTTAACAAATATTCTATTCATATAAAGCTAATATAAATTAAAAAAATTATTATATACAGTCAAAAATCGTTAATTCGGACACCCATAATCGGGAATGATCTATAATCCGGACCTTAAAGCTACAAACTTTCTGCGCTTGCGTTGCGTTGATGCATTCGCACAGGCGTTTACGCGTGCGCATAAGACCTTTACGGCACGTTTAATGTATAACGGACAGTATAAGCTAAGCTAAAATTATCTAATTCAGTTAATGTTGCAGATTTCATTGTTCCTTAATCTTCAGGTTGGATCCGGCTTATTATTTTTTGCAGACTTTTAGAGTAATTTTATAAAAGTAAGCTTGAACTTTCAATTATGTCAAATAGAATTTCCGATATATATTTACTAATATGTAAAGGATCTACAAAGCGAAAGTACGTTTCGAAGTCCATTATACAGAAAGTGGAATTGCTGCAAAAAGTGGATAAAGGCATATCCTTTGATTATCTAATCATTCCGAAATATGTTTATCAATTTCACGCTGCTCTGCAGGGGGAGGGAAATGATGCGGCACGCAATGAATTGGAAGTTGATCTGTCAGCACTATCCTTATCTTCAGGGCAGATGTTTTTATTTTATTTGGCTTATAATTCTTTACTAAATGTAGTATTTCATCTCGATGTACTCCGTCTTTGATATGATTTAAATCAAGTTCCTCGTCATTATAATTCACTTCCGATAGTGAAGAAAGTGACACAGAGATTATTGAAAACGAAAAAACTTCGATTGACAAATTAGTCGGTATTCTCGACACAGCATTTATAAGACTTGAACAGCAAAACTTTGTAACTAAACAAGAAATTATGTCTGTTTAATAGAATTAAAGAGAAAGAATTAGCACATGAAACGAAGCAACTTAAACAACTTACATTGAAAGAAATATTTAATAAAGTGAACAAATTTTAAGTTTTTTCTTTTTGTAAATTTTGATACCCTTTAGATCATAATTGTTCTTTATTTCATAAATTACGGTTTCATATTTTTAATTTTATAATTTTTGCATGCCATCCTACCAGATTTAAACTGATGATCTATAATCTGGAAAAATCAATAATCCGGAATCGCCGAAGTCCTGACAAGTCCGGATTAACGACTTTTGACTGTATATATATAAAACACAGTTATCTCCAGTTTTCTTTATTGCCTGGACGACCTGTGGTTCTGATCCAGATATTTAGAATCCTTTTGAACTGAACTAAAATGGTGCCATTCAGAAATATAAGAAAAGATAAAAATGTTATTTGAAATTAAGGACAGTAATAGCAGAAGTGATAAATATTAAAAAAAATTTACCTTACGCCTTCTTCTGCTTTTTCTTTGTAGAAGTTCCAAGTTTTCTTTTGCAGAAGATAAATTTCTATCAGACAGTTCTTGAGGAAGATGTGGTAATATTTCTAATGGTAATGATGCTAGAACAGGTAACAGCTTCCGATGAGGCCAATTATGCAAATGCTGCTTACAAGCAAAAATATCTTTACTTGATAATTTATATTTCCAAGCTTCTTCTAATTCAGTGGTTGTAAATTTTAACCATGTAAACATTTTACAGTCAGGGTATCTAGATTTAAAATATCATGATAAAATAAAACAACTCTTTTAATTATGCTTAAAAAAAGAATAAAGATTTACATCATTAAATACAACATATAGACAGATGTTACCTTATGAAAATGCTTTATAGAATTCTATAAAAAAATCCAGTGTTAAACTTGTTTAGAATCCTTCAGAATTATAGCTTAATTTTCTATAAATTAGGTGAGAGATACTCTATAGAATTTTATAAAATTTTAGACATACCTTCTGTAGAATTACCTTTATAGATTCCATAGAAATATGTATAGATATTCTACACAGATTTGTGAAGAGATTTCAAAACAATTTGTACAATTCTGAAGGTCTCCCATATTAAATCTTATATAATTTATAAAGCAGGGTTTCTCAACCAAGGGGGAATTTAACAGTTTAAGGGGGAATGCTGCCAAATTTGTATTTAGCTATTAGGTATTTAGGTTTAATTTATGAAAGTAGAAAATTACTTTTATTCAAGTTTTGGCGTTTATCAACATTTTGCATACCTTTTGTTTATTTATTAAATACATTAAAATAACGTATATAATAAATATTCTCTACTCGTATAAAAGCTAGTATAAATTTAAAACTTAATTAAGAAATTTTAATTGCAAAATAAAAAATAAAATTTAAATTAATTATTGCTGCGAACTAATTTACAGTATTTAAATTCTAAGAGCATATGTAAATTAAGAACACATATCTCATGCCATAAAAAATATATAATATTCCAAAAAATTAATCTCAAAAACTTTTTTAAGGAATTTTTCTGCCTGCTCAACAGTTGTTCACTTACACAATTTAATTTGGTCTTAAAAACTCCTTAAAATTTTTTTTTAGATTAATTTTTTTCATGGTTTTAGATACGTGCACCTAATTTACATATGCTCTTAGAATTTAAATGATATTGTAAATTAGTTTGCAGCAATAATTAATTTTAGTTTCTATTTTTGCAATTAAAATTTCTTAATTAAATTAAAAATTTATAATAGCTTTATACGATTAGAGAATATATGTTTAAATTACATTCCTTGCAAAAATGGTGCAAGAGAATTATTTAAATTTAATTTTATTTTACTATATTCTTGTAAATAAATGTATATATGTATTTTTTAAATTTTTGAAAGGGAGGGGAGGAATGATCTTCTAGTGAAAGGGAAGGAGGTAGATAGGACAAAACAGCTTAAGAACCTCTGGTGCATACAATCAGTTAATAGAATTCTACTGAAAATATCAAATCCATTTTATATATAATGGAGCCATAATTCCACACAAGTCTTCTTGCTTTGCATTTTCTATAAAAGATGGTACTGTTCTGTTACTGGGACTGGGTCCAGAAATGTATGTATGCATGGATGTGTTCATATGCATGTACAGTCAAAAGTCGTTAATCCGGAATGATCTATAATCCAGACCTCAAAGCTACAAACTTTCTGCGCATGCGTCAACGGGACGCCTGTGCGCATGCGTCAATGCGGCGCATGCGCACAGGCGTTTAAGCATGCATGTAAGACCTTTACGGCTGCGCATATGCGTGTGCGCATAATACATTTACGCATGCGCGTTTAATGTATAACGGATGATATAAGCTAAAATTATCTAATTATCTATTTCAGTTAATATTGCAGATTGCGTTTTTCCTTAATCTTCGAATTGGATCCGGTTTATTACTTTTTGCAGACTGTTAGAGCAATTTTATAAAAGTAAGCTTGAACTTTCGATTATGTCAAATAGAATTTTTGATGCTGGAACTCCCAAAGGATCTACAAAGCAAAAGTATGTTTCGATGTCCATCAAACAAAACATTGCTGCAAAAAACGGATAAAGGCATATCCTTTGTTTCTCTAACCATTCGGAAATCTGTTTATCAATTTCACGCTGCTCTGCGGCTGGGGGGGGGAGGACGCCGCAGCATGCAGTGAATTATTGAAAACGAAAAAATTTCGATTCACAAATTAGTCAGTATTCTCGACACAGCAATTAGAGGACTTGAACAGCGGAACTTTGTAACTGAACAAGAAATTATGTCTGTTTATAGAATTAAAGAGAAAGTATTATCACATAAAACGAAGCAACTTAAACAACTTACATTGAAAGAAATGTTTAATAAAGTAAACAAATAAATATTTTTTTGTAAATTTTGATACCCTTTAGATCATAATTGTTCTTTATTTCATAAATTACGGTTTCATATTTTTAATTTTATAATTTCTGCATGCCATCTTACCAGATTTAAACTGATGATCTATAATCCGGAAAAATCGATAATCCGGAATCTCTGAAGTCCCGACGAGTACGGATTAACGACTTTTGACTGTATATGTGTTTGTACATATGTAATTGTGTACATACACACATGTATATGCACATACATACATACAAACACTTCTGAATCCACTCCTGACAGCAGAACAGTACCAAAAGATCTTACAGATTTACAGATTGCTTTTGAGCATTTTAAAGCAACATAAAAAAAAAAAAAAAAACTTTTAGATTTAAAATATGGAATGATTTGTTGAAAAAGTGTTTGGAACAAATATGATTTTTCCCCCTTATAAATATCAGTATCATTTTGATTTTTTAAAAAATTGATACTTGCATATTATCTCATCAACATTAAAAGTTGGCTACCATCAAACTATGAGAGTTAGTGGAGATACCAAGGTTTTGCTGCCTAAGAACAGAATATCTTCATTAATAAAAAGCTTGAAAGCACTAGCACTTTGTTCAAAACACGACTTTTGCAAAGAGGTTGTTCTGCTGTTTCATATGTGTTATCAGGTGCTGTAAAACATTTTGCAAATACCCTGATCCGTTTTTGCCCGTTTATTTTGCTGAGTTCTTCGTCGTTTACTTTACTGTTGTCGATTCACTAATAGTTTGTGTCTGGACTTCATCTTTAGTTTCTACAGAAAAATTATCAATTTTACCCTCAGACCACTTTCAGATAGCTCCTGCAACAATTTTTTAATTTCTTCATCCTTAAGACCTCTTTTCCGCTTATTAGACATATTTTGTAAAAGTTGAAAAGGTAGAGCAATATCAGACTATCCGAAAACGATAAGGTATATATTTTAGCATATAATTGTCATAGCATAAAGGAAAGGTGATAATAAACTTGACAGCAGAATTCATATGTACTGAAATATTGACTTGAAAATAAAATAGAGATAACTAAGATGAACTGAATAATCGATATGTATGGATATTTTTTCATGGTACTTTCGGAGCTTATTACAGTGGAGTCCGACAAACTCAATGTAATGTGGACCGAGAGACTCGAGTTTTGTGGAATAAGAGGTGGATTTTACAAAACTCTTAATTTTTAACAGTAAATTACACTAGACATGTGGTAGCACAATATTGGACAGCATACAATTAAAGTTGATTTTTCTATGTCAAGTTTTAGCACAATAGGAGTCATAAAAAGAACAAATATCCTAAAATAATTGAGTAAAAATTTACATGCAAAAATGAAGAAAAATTATTACTAGCTCTTAGAAGAAAAATATTCATGTGATAGTAGATTGTCTCTCACATTCATTCTGTTGTCTTGCAGCTTCATCTCGTAGGCGATGAAGGAACAAAATGTCCGTACCACTGCACGATGCACCTCCCTCCCTCATGTAATGGAGCATTTCCTTCAGCAGCCTTCAGTCCTTCACTATAGGTCATCATTTTAGCTTTTCCGTTGTCTTCAATCTCATCATTTTTTTGATTCATCTTCATTTTTATCCCCATTTGTCTTTCAGCATTGCAACTATTTCTGCATGTCCTAAAATTTCACAATTTTCATCTAGTCCCCATCTGTTCTTCAGCATCACCATCCACTAACTTCTTCACAGCGTTAGAATTTTCTAAAGTCAACTATTTCTCAATTTCCTGTCTCTTCTCTGCTTTCTTGAAATTAGTTTCCTTAATCGTCCAAGAATGAGCTATCCATCCAACGACATCCAACAAATCTATTTTCTTCAGTTTCTCGATCATATCACACTTTACCTCCATGGCTAGGACAAGAGGTAAAAGAAGTTTACGTTTGTAATTTTTTTTTTTTTTTTTTTTTCAATGCCTTCAAAATGCCCTGGTCCATCGGCTGACTCACTGAAGTTACATTAGAAGGAAGAAACATGGCTCTTATATCTTCGTCTCATAACTCCTCTGCATCGGAATGGGATGAGGCATTGTCTAGACTGAAAATTGCCTTCCTTGGCAGATTTTTTTTTTATTTTAAAAACTTTTCCACCAATGGAACAAACTGCTGATGAAACCAGTCATTGAATATCGCTTCAATCCATTCGTTTGACTGATTCTGGAACTAAACAGGAAGATCATAGTTGGTTTCGGTCCCATTAGTGTACTTTTTTATGTTTTTAAACACCTGGGGATTTTTTTTATTTACCTGTAAGCGCTAGTTTGAGCTTTAGCTGCCTGTTGCATTGATGCTTGCCAAGATTGTTATTCTCTCCTTGTGTCTTTTATAGCCAGGTGCTGAAGTTTCTTCCCTGGATGCCAGTGTTTTCAAAAGTAGCATTCGAAAATTCAGACCAGTTTTATCACAGTTATAAATTTGATCTCCAGGCATACCCTCCTTTTTAACTAGTTTGTGGAAATTATCCATGAATATTGCAGCATTTTCCAAGTTAGCAGATAGCTTTTCCCCACAAATGTTTAACTGCCTGATGTTGTAACGATTTTCCCATTTATCGAGCCAGCCAGCACTAACTGTAAATCCAGGCTCTCCTTGAAATTCATCATAAAATTTTAGGGCTTTCTTTTGTAAAATTGGTCCTGAAATGGTTGTCCCCTGTTCCCTTTCCTGCCTGAATACAAAAATCTTGGTGGTAAATACAAAAAAAGTGCCTCGCTCACTTTTTTTGCATTCACCACCTTTCATACTTTTTCTTTCCTTTAAACTGTCTGTACATGCTCTTTTCACATGCCAAGTCTCAATTCTGGGCCTCTTCGTTTTCCACCCTATCAAAGTGATCCATACAACATCTGAATCCATGGTAATTTTGTTTACACTATTTCCTTTGTCCAGTCCCTTTAAGGCATCTAGTTTCATTTCCATTGTCATGTTAGTTTGTTTTCTTGTTTTCTTTCCAAACAACATTTTCACTTCGCAGATTATCGAAAGTTCCCCAAACTATGTTAACACTTATATGCCTGGATGGGAACTGAAAAACGATACCCACAATGAATTGGCAGGAGTTTAGTTTGCAATAAGATGCAGTCACAAAACTTCAGACAAGTCTTCTAACATTTCGCAACAATAGAAAGGAATGTGAGGCCGCAGCGAGCTGCTACCTTACTTTCTGTATATCGTTGAAAGAAGCAAACAGCGGCGTTGCCAAGTATTACAACATATCTTGAAATTTGTTAGGCCGTTCCAAGAATTAATGGCATTATGCGAAAACAGCAGAAATTACAGAAAGAAAAACTCTCAAATGTTCGAACAGAACAGGAAAGAGATACGCATAAACAATAATTCTATGCACTGTATGTAATATTTGCTCTTTGGTCTAGAGGTATATTAAAATTTCCTAAAACGTTTTTGAACTATACGAAATGTCGAGATATTGGGAGTCAAGTTTGCGGGAAACCTGCTGTATTTAGTTTATGGTAATTTAAAGTAATGATATTTTTAAAGAGAGCTATCATATTTATAGAACCTTGGTAGTTAAATAATTTTTTTATTTTTATTGAAATATGTGGTTTAATTTTTATACCAAAGCAACAGAGAAGATCTTTTTCTTTTGACTTGCAGGTTATTGATTCAATGAATTTTGAATTTAAACTTAAATTTTAAATTACTTTTAAAGTATATGCATTCATTGATTTAATCTGAATTTATATCAATCATCCAGTTCCTCACAGTGTAAGAATTTCACTATCTTTTAGGAAATTTTAGGTAAGTTCCTAAGTACCCCTCCACACACACACACACACACACTTTTGTCTAGCACTAGTGATGAGAGAGAATTAAGCCAGTTTAGCTTAATGTATAAATTTATTTATTTTCATTTTCTTTCTATATAACATAATTCTTATACTCTTTACCATTATAAATTTTTTGCAGTTCAAAATGTGGTCAACTGCAGATGATAGTATGATCTGTCGCTTTACTTCTGATGCTAAAGATAAGCCTATGGGTAACTATTTGATTTTAAGTATATACATTTTTTTAACTTCAGTATCTTAATATATCAATTTTCTATTTTTGTCCTAAATTTTTATTTTATATATGTACTGTAAATCTTTCTGTGCAGGCTGTGGAATATGCATTACTACATATTCCATGATAACGCATACGCAGAAACGATCCTGGGAAGCAGAACAAGTTATGAATTGGTTAAAAGAGCAGGAGTGGGGTCTTATGTTATTAGATGGTAAGACAGACTTTTTACATTTTAAAAATACTTAAAATTACAAGATTTATTGTATTTTAAAATATGCATTAAAAATTATTAATACATCTGATTATAATGTAATAATGGATACATAAGTGCCCTTCGAAAGTTAATCATGAAATAAAAGTTCTCAAATTCTGAGTCCATTCGCAAGCTTTATTGTGCAAATCTTATAGTTGTCTTTAAATGTGATGTATAAATATGCTCATGATTGCACTGTGTCATGAACTTAAATTATTTCATGCTTCCTTGTGGTGCTTAATTTTTTTCTTTTGTCCCCGAAAATCAAGTGTTGTGTTGTTTTAAGGAACCCAAATTCATGAATGTCCGTGGGAACACAAAATTGATCACGAAGAACCATATGTAGACAAAATGCAGCCAGCTATCTCAGTGATGTTCAGCTGTTTCAGAACAGAGCCACTCATGATCAAAAGGATACTCCCCAAGAAGAATCAGAGATCTTATAATTGTGGGACAGTCAAAAGTATGGTCAGGTCTTAATACTGTTTTGTCACAGTTATTGCAGAGACATCAGGATCTTTTGCCAGCTCTTTCTTTCTATCTTCACACTCCAAAAATCCTGGCTTTTGAGTTGAGTTATAGTTTTTGTGATATCTCAATTAACTTTAATTTCACAAATCTGGTTGGTTGTCTTTTTTGATAAAATTTCCTTTAAATTGATATTTTGCTTTGACATTTGCATCATCAAGAATAATTTGATTATTATTACCGTCATTTATATGTCTTGCTTCTGTGGCAAACCTGGTTGCTATTTTATTTCCAGGAATGCAATATAAGCAGGTCTCACTGTAAAATGCAGATCTTGTCTGGATTGTCAGTTTCCTTCAACTAATGCTGACTCTCTTGGGCAAGTGTTGATTGACCTTTATTTATTGCCTCTAAGGCAGCTCTGGAATCATAGAAGACAACCAAACCATTTGCTTTTTCCACATTCTCAAGTACATAATATTCATGTAAGTCATTCATCAAGTACATAATTCTTTGTTTATTGCTGTCAGCTGGCTGGTGAAATTTGAAATGAAGGTGCCTGTCCCAATTTTGTGGTTCATGGATATACCATTTGATAGCACTAAATATGTGCCAGCACCACCGTTCTGGATACTTTCATCTGCTGAGTCATCAGTATATGCATGGAAAAGGTTACTTTCCAATATAGTTTTGATAGTCTGCATTCTCTTTGCAAAGATAATAGTTGTTAATTATATTTTTGAACTTAATTGTGTTAGCACAAACTGTAGTGTTCTTGGGGATAGTTATGAAGAGTAAAGGTTCTTCGAGTATTACATTGATGCAATGAACAAAACCAATAATTTGTCTTATTTCAAAATCGAACTGGAAAGTAGATGGATTTTTTAAGTGTGGGTTTTTTTCAGGACCAGTTCTTCAAATTTCCAAGTTTTTCTTTGATATATGATCAGAATCACAGCTTCTAGCTTTGTTATTGAGGCTGATGGTTTGGTATTTTCTTCTATTATCAAGAGTTTTGAGGCCATATTCTCATTTTTTGTCGAGGAAACCGTGCCAGTAATGATTTTCTGTTCTGGCCTGGATGCTGTGGCTGAAGCATTGGCCCAGATAGGAATGTCATATTCAAGGTGTGGTCTGATGAGAGTTGTGTAGGTTGTTTGAAGAGTTTTGGGCTTTGTTCCTCAGTGCAACATAAGCTTTTTAAGCTTCTTTAAAGCTTTATTTTTATAATGTTTGATTTGTTAAGTAAGGTACAATTCAGTATGAAGTTGCATTCCAAAGTATTTTGGATTTGGCCTCATTGTGATAGTAGGCCTCATATGATTTCTGTGCTTTTGATCTGTAGTAGTGTAGATTGAATTTCAGTTTGAGGTTCTGATACCAAATTAGGATATTCTTTAGAGATCGGTTAATATGTGAGCAGATTTATCAGTGTTGTAGGAAATATGCTAAATTGACATGTAATTCATGCCATTTGTGATGAATATTGTTAACATATAATAAAAATAGTAATGGCCTGGGAACAGAGCCCTGGGTTATGCCTGCCCAAGTATTCATGCTTTTTGAATGAGCTTCATTGAATTTAACTTTACCTGTTTCTCAAGAAGTCAGGGATCTAAATAAGTGCATTACCTCTGACATCATATTTATGGACGATCTCTGTGTGTTTGTGCCTCCATCCTGTGTCGAACGCAGACGACATATCAAGAAAAACAACAGTAGTTTTCCTGGGATTTTTTTTTTTTTTCCCCTGGAAATCAGCAATGATGGATTTGCAAAGAACAACAGCTGATTGGCAGTTGAATGATGTTTTCTGTAGGCAGCTTGGTAGTAGTGTAGGTTTCTTTGTTCAGTAAGAATTTTAAGGATTCTAGGGTTAATAATTTCTTGCATGATTTTGCATAGTATACTGGTTAATGCAATGAGTCTATAATTCTTTCACTTATTGGGAGTTTTCCCCCAGCATCAATATTAAGATTATTATTGATATTTTCTTTACTTTTGTTAATTTCCCATTTTTATTGATTGTTTCTAAACATTGTTTTCTTGCAACAATTCCAAAGTATTTAAGCATTTGGCCCAAAACTAGATCACATCATGATGACTTTGTAGGATAAAAATTGCCTGTTATGTCATTCATTTCTTCCACAGTACTGTCTTCTGACATGGAGTTATTGTTTTGAACAAAAGCTCTGCAACGATGCATCATGTGTTGGTGTTGCATTAAGATTCTTCAATGATACTGCTCCTGGCCATCTAATATATTGGTCAACAGCATCCAGCACATATTTGTAGCCTCAACAACTTGGTTTCCACAGGTCCTATGATATGTCATCGATTAACTGAAATGGTCCATTAGGGCATATGGTTGGCATAATAGGAAATTCTTCAAAAGAGCACTTTTTAGCTTGACGTTGATATGAAGTACATGTGTTGCAATATTCATTCACATTTTTCTTGATTCCAGGCCAGTAGACAAAATATCTCAATCATGTGACAGTCTTCTGGGTTCGTATGTGAGCTCCTTGTAAATTAGAATGAGCTAAGTGCAAAAGTTCTTTTTGTCTCTCCTTGGGAACAATTAACTGGTGAACCATTTCTCCTAAAATTTTATGTTTGTGGTATAAAAATTCATCAGTGACTATTAAATTATTGCTTCCATTCTTACATTTTTTATTAATGAGTTTTTCCCTATCATGTTTAAACATTTCATCAAAATTTTCAATTTTGTAAAAGGGCATTTTAACCAAACTATCAATAAATACAGAGAGGCTGTTCACACATTTTTTAGATGATTTTGCTTTCCTATAATAAAAAATCATCAATTTCCAACATAATAAATTGAACTAATTATTTTTTAGATTTTCTGACGAATTGCTTTACTGGAACATTTGTAATCCAATTTGAACATATGTAATCCAGCATAAATATAGCACTTCGTGTCATCACTGTGAGATTTCTTCATTGCATAATTAACATAAACATGTTG